CATCTGCTCCATGTGAAATAATACTTTTGATTATTCCCTCATTATTAATCAGTGTTGAATAATGAAGAGGAGTTTTTCCATTATTATCCTGTGAATTGACATCTGCTCCATATGAAATGATACTGTTTGTAATTGCTTCATTATTATTTGTTATTGCATAATGAAGAGGAGTTTTTCCTTCAATATCTTTAATATTAACATCTACTCCAAGTTCCAGTAGAAATTCTGTTGATTTTTCATTATTCTTCAAAGTTGCTACATGAAGTGGAGTAACGTTTTTATTGTCCTTTGCATTAATTTCAGCACCATTTGTGATAAGTAAGAGCGCTATGATCAGATTTTCATCCCGTATCGAAGTAAATAAAGGAGTTCTTCCTAGCTGATCTTTTGCATTGATATCTGCATGATGTGAAATCAGGTATTTTATAGTTTCTGTTCTAATTTTTTCAACAGCATAATGTAAAGGTGTATTTCCGATGTTGTCTTTAGCATTTATATCTGCACCATGGGAAACAAGAATTTTTGTGACTTCGGAAGATGGATTATTCTTTGCAGATTTATGAAGGGCAGTGTGACCTTCATTATCCTTAGCATTAATATAGGGTGTCCAAAGGTGCGTTTAGCACAGCGCTCTATATGAGACTATTAAAGGAGATATATGCTGATTATAAATATATAATAAAAAATATGAATATATGTATATGATGAGTATGTTGTATTTTGGCGCCATGCCGGGATATAAAATGAATTTTGAGACAAGAGGCGGTTTCGCGGGAAATTTTGGCGGGATTTTTTTCATTTTTTTAATGAATCATAAAGAAAACATCCTCGCTCTTGCAAAAAAATGCAAAGACTGTAAAAAAATCTACGAGACATTGGTAAAATGCTTCGGTATGGATGCTCCTAGCTATTCCACTGTAACGTATCATGTTAGGATGTATCACTTCATGAACAAAAAGGCGCCCATCATAAAAATTGACAAAAAATCGCCGGATCAAAGAAAAATCAAAGCAATTCTTCAAGCGCTAGATGAAGACCCAAGAGCATCACTCAGAAGGATAGAGGAGATGACAAAGATACCACGTACAACAGTCAGTTATTATCTGCACAATTATTTGAACTACAAACTAGCGTATACACGTTGGGTTCCGCACAACCTTAATTCAGTTCAAAAAAAATCTAGAGTCCAATCTTCGAAAGAGCTCCTCTCTATATTGGGTGCGTATCAATCCAAGAAGTTTCGCTTTTTAGTAACAGGGGACGAGTCTTGGTTTCAATATGCAACAGAAGCCAAAATCATGTGGATCCCGAAGGATGAAAATCCGCAAACATTCCCGAAGAAAAAAATTGACACACCAATGATGATGTTGTCGGTTTTTTGGGGCGTGAATGGCATCATCGCAATTGATATTCTTCAAAAACCTAATACGATGAATGCTCAGTATCTAATTGACAATGTTCTTACTCAAATTATCAATTCTGATGAGTTTGAGAAATCCAAACAACAAAAACAAAAGTTTGCAATTCATTTTGATAATTCAAGAGTTCACAAAAGTCATAAGGTAATGAATTACTTGGTGGAAAACAATGTCAAAGTTGTTCCAAACCCAATTTATTCACCTGATATTGCACCCTCTGACTTTTATTTATTCGGCACGCTAAAAAAGAGAGCTGAAGGACGCGAGTCCAGATGATCTTGAAAATTTTGTAAGAGAGCAATTTGAGCAATTTTCTCATGATGATTTAAAGCGTGTCTTTCAAGCCTGGATCGATCGCTGCGAACGCGTGATTGAATCCAATGGTGATTATATTTAAATAAACTTTATATATATGTAACTTGTTTATTTCTATTCGCAGTATTCAGGTTTGTGCTAAACACACCTTTGGACACCCTATATTTATACCATGAGAAATCAATAATGTGACAATATCGGAAGAACTTCTGAATGCAGCGTAATGAAGAACTGTTCCTCCTCCCACATTGATTGTTATATACGAAAACGATAAAAACAGTTTGACAGAAAAGTGACAACTTTACGTGTCAAAAATATAAAAAGTGATATTTTATTCATCATTATCTTCTTCATAATTTATTTCATATTCTTCGTCTTACCAACAAAAGATGGGAATGTGAACAATTGCGGGCAATTTTTAGCCATTTTGGCTTGGAACTAGAGCCTGCGAGGTACATGGATAGTATCAGTACCTCACAGGCTCTAGTTCTCTATATGGCGCCGAGAAATTTTGGTGAAATGTGGTCGCATTTCACAAAAATTTTCGGCGCCATAGGATGAATTGGAGGGTGAGAGATATTATTTCATACAATACTACTCTCACCCTCCAATTCCCAGCCAAAATGGCTAAAAATTGCCCGCAATGTGAACAATTGCGGGCAATTTTTAGCCATTTTGGCTTGGAACTAGAGCCTGCGAGGTACATGGATAGTATCAGTACCTCACAGGCTCTAGTTCTCTATATGGCGCCGAGAAATTTTGGTGAAATGTGGTCGCATTTCACCAAAATTTTTTCGGCGCCATAGGATGAATTGGAGGGTGAAGGATATTATTTCATACAATACTACTCTCACCCTCCAATTCCCAGCCAAAATGGCTAAAAATTGCCCGCAATGTGAACAAATTGCGGGCAATTTTTAGCCATTTTGGCTTGAACTAGAGCCTGCGAGGTACATGGATAGTATCAGTACCTCACAGGCTCTAGTTCTCTATATGGCGCGAGAAATTTTGGTGAAATGTGGTCGCATTTCACCAAAATTTTTTCGGCGCCATAGGATGAATTGGAGGGTGAGAGATATTATTTCATACAATACTACTCTCACCCTCCAATTCCCAGCCAAAATGGCTAAAAATTGCCCGCAATGTGAACAATTGCGGGCAATTTTTAGCCATTTTGGCTTGGAACTAGAGCCTGCGAGTACATGGATAGTATCAGTACCTCACAGGCTCTAGTTCTCTATAGGCGCCGAAAATTTTGGTGAAATGTGGTCGCCTTCACCAAAATTTTTTCGGCGCCATAGGATGAATTGGAGGGTGAGAGATATTATTTCATACAATACTACTCTCACCCTCAATTTTAATTACTTAAACTCATTCTATTTTTTTGACATGTAAATGTCACTTTTACTGAGATCTGACACAATGTCAGATCTCTTTTTTTCGTATATAAGATGATTGCATTGATATCTGCTCCGTGATCAATGAGAAATTTAATGATATCTTGATGATTTCTCATTGCTGCAATCAAAAGTTGAGTTTCGTAATTTCTGGCGCAAGTGTTGATGTTTGCTCCATGTGAAAATAAGAATTTAACCATTTCAAGATTATTATTTTCTGCTGCGTAATAAAAAGCTGTCTTACCACCTTTACCAATTGCTTCGATATTTGCACCATGTGAAAGGAGATATTCAATCATCTCTGTATTCTTGAGTCTTACAGCTTCATGAAGAGCTGTTTCGCCAGATGAATCTATAGCGTTGATATTCGCTCCCTTTGAAAGAAGTAATTTTACCATTTCTTCATTGTTATTATCGATTGCAACACGAAGAACAGATTTTCCTTTTTTGTTTTGTGAATTCACATTTCCTCCTTTATCAATCAGGAATTTTGCAATTGGATAATTATTCATTTCAACAGCAAAATATAGGGAGCTTCTCCCTTCATTATCTTTGGAATCAATTGAAGCCCATGGTATGTCCAATAATACTTTGCAATAATCAATGTTATCATAGATTATTGAATAATGAAGTGCTGTTAATCCTGTATCACCATATGCATGAAGGTTTACATGATATGCATTTTCTTTCAAGATTTCCAAAGTTTGTGGAAATGCAGGACACCATGGAATAATTTCGAATAGATCCAATTTTGCAAGGAAAAAAACAGCGTATAGATTTAATGATTTTATTACAACATGGTAATTCAAACAAGATATTCTCATTGATGGATTTTTTAATAATTCTTCAATCCGATTATTGTTATGTGCTGAAACTGCATTATTAAGACAAATATTATCAGTTCTTTGATGCTTCAAGCATTCATTAATTATATCGCTATTGTTTCCAATATATGAGTACTCAAGAGTGTCATCGGTGATTTCAATATGGAAGTTGGAAATAAGGTAAAAGAAGATTAGTAGACCCATAATAAGCAAATGCATCCAAAAGTGACATGTTGTCAAAAAGTGCTTTGAAATTGAAAATTCTTCGGGAGTGGGGGACAAACTCGCCCATTGTCACTTTTCATTAACCTTAAACTTGTAATTTTCATTATTTTTAATTAACCTTATTTCTTTCTCAATTCCTGATTTATTTTATTCACTTACTATTAAAAGTCACATTTTAATAAAATATAATAATTTATTTATAGCATTTTTTACTATACTGTAATAAAAAATTAATTATAATAAATTAAATGTTTTGTAATAAACAGAAATTCATCAAAAGTGACAGCTCTCAATTTTTTGACATTTGTAAATTCTAAATTGAATGAGAAAAATGAAATAAAAAAAAAAGGTAGTGGGGCTTCCAGGCACTTCGTGCCCTCTAGCCCTGAAGATGTTTAGTATAAATGAAGTTTTTATTCGGAAAATTGTTAGTCTTCTGGTGTGAATTCGGAGGACTCTTCTTCTTCCTCCATTGCTTCTGGGAAAGAATCTCTTATTAGTACTTCCTCTCTTCATCAAGGTGCTTCCTCTCTTCATCAAGATGCTTCCTCTCTTCATCAAGATGCTTCCTCTCTTGAGCAAGGTGCTTCCTCTCTTCATCAAGATGCTTCCTCTCTTCATCAAGATGCTTCCTCTCTTCTTCAAAGTACTTCCTCTCTTCATCAAGATGCTTCCTCTCTTTCAAAGTACTTCCTCTCTTCATCAAGATGCTTCCTCTCTTCTTCAAAGTACTTCCTCTCTTGATCAAGATGCTTCCTCTCTTGAGCAAGGTGCTTCCTCTCTTCATCAAGATGCTTCCTCTCTTCATCAAGATGCTTCCTCTCTTCTTCAAAGTACTTCCTCTCTTCATCAAGATGCTTCCTCTCTTCTTCAAAGTACTTCCTCTCTTCATCAAGATGCTTCCTCTCTTGATCAAGGTGCTTCCTCTCTTCTTCAAAGTACTTCCTCTCTTGATCAAGATGCTTCCTCTCTTCTTCAAAGTACTTCCTCTCTTGATCAAGATGCTTCCTCTCTTCTTCAAAGTACTTCCTCTCTTCAACAAAGTGATTCCTCTCTTCTTCAAAGTACTTCCTCTCTTCATCAAGGTGCTTCCTCTCTTGATCAAGATGCTTCCTCTCTTCATCAAGATGCTTCCTCTCTTCTTCAAAGTACTTCCTCTCTTCATCAAGATGCTTCGTCTCTTCTTCAAAGTACTTCCTCTCTTGATCAAGATGCTTCCTCTCTTCATCAAGATGCTTCCTCTCTTCTTCAAAGTACTTCCTCTCTTCTTCAACAAGTGCTTCCTCTCTTCTTCAAAGTACTTCCTCTCTTCATCAAGATGCTTCCTCTCTTGAGCAAGGTGCTTCCTCTCTTGATCAAGATGCTTCCTCTCTTCATCAAGATGCTTCCTCTCTTCAACAAAGTGATTCCTCTCTTCTTCAAAGTACTTCCTCTCTTGATCAAGATGCTTCCTCTCTCATCACTTCCTCTCTATCAAGATGCTTCCTCTCTTGATCAAGTGCTTCCTCTCTTCAAAAGTACTTCCTCTCTTGATCAAGATGCTTCCTCTCTTCAACAAAGTGCTTCCTCTCTTCTTCAAAGTACTTCCTCTCTTGATCAAGTGCTTCCTCTCTTCTTCAAGTACTTCCTCTCTTGATCAAGATGCTTCCTCTCTTCATCAAAGTACTTCCTCTCTTCTTCAAAGTGCTTCCTCTCTTCTTCAAAGTACTTCCTCTCTTCATCAAAGTACTTCCTCTCTTCATCAAGATGCTTCCTCTCTTCTTCAAAGTACTTCCTCTCTTCATCAAGATGCTTCCTCTCTTCTTCAAAGTACTTCCTCTCTTGATCAAGATGCTTCCTCTCTTGAGCAAGGTGCTTCCTCTCTTCATCAAGATGCTTCCTCTCTTCTTCAAAGTACTTCCTCTCTTCAACAAAGTGATTCCTCTCTTCTTCAAAGTACTTCCTCTCTTCATCAAGGTGCTTCCTCTCTTGATCAAGATGCTTCCTCTCTTCATCAAGATGCTTCCTCTCTTCTTCAAAGTGATTCCTCTCTTCTTCAAAGTACTTCCTCTCTTCATCAAGATGCTTCCTCTCTTGATCAAGGTGCTTCCTCTCTTCAACAAAGTACTTCCTCTCTTGATCAAGATGCTTCCTCTCTTCAACAAAGTGATTCCTCTCTTCTTCAAAGTACTTCCTCTCTTGATCAAGGTGCTTCCTCTCTTCTTCAAAGTACTTCCTCTCTTCATCAAGATGCTTCCTCTCTTCATCAAAGTACTTCCTCTCTTCTTCAAAGTGCTTCCTCTCTTCTTCAAAGTACTTCCTCTCTTCATCAAAGTACTTCCTCTCTTCATCAAGGTGCTTCCTCTCTTCATCAAGATGCTTCCTCTCTTCATCAAGGTGCTTCCTCTCTTCTTCAAAGTACTTCCTCTCTTCATCAAGATGCTTCCTCTCTTCTTCAAAGTACTTCCTCTCTTCATCAAGGTGCTTCCTCTCTTCATCAAGATGCTTCCTCTCTTCATCAAGATGCTTCCTCTCTTGAGCAAGGTGCTTCCTCTCTTCATCAAGATGCTTCCTCTCTTCATCAAGATGCTTCCTCTCTTCTTCAAAGTACTTCCTCTCTTCATCAAGATGCTTCCTCTCTTCTTCAAAGTACTTCCTCTCTTCATCAAGATGCTTCCTCTCTTCTTCAAAGTACTTCCTCTCTTGATCAAGATGCTTCCTCTCTTGAGCAAGTGCTTCCTCTCTTCATCAAGATGCTTCCTCTCTTCATCAAGATGCTTCCTCTCTTCTTCAAAGTACTTCCTCTCTTCATCAAGATGCTTCCTCTCTTCTTCAAAGTACTTCCTCTCTTCATCAAGATGCTTCCTCTCTTGATCAAGGTGCTTCCTCTCTTCTTCAAAGTACTTCCTCTCTTGATCAAGATGCTTCCTCTCTTCTTCAAAGTACTTCCTCTCTTGATCAAGATGCTTCCTCTCTTCTTCAAAGTACTTCCTCTCTTCAACAAAGTGATTCCTCTCTTCTTCAAAGTACTTCCTCTCTTCATCAAGGTGCTTCCTCTCTTGATCAAGATGCTTCCTCTCTTCATCAAGATGCTTCCTCTCTTCTTCAAAGTACTTCCTCTCTTCATCAAGATGCTTCTCTCTCTTCAAAGTACTTCCTCTCTTCATCAAGATGCTTCCTCTCTTCATCAAGATGCTTCCTCTTCTTCAAAGTACTTCCTCTCTTCATCAAGATGCTTCCTCTCTTCTTCAAAGTACTTCCTCTCTTCATCAAGATGCTTCCTCTCTTGATCAAGGTGCTTCCTCTCTTCATCAAGATGCTTCCTCTCTTCATCAAGATGCTTCCTCTCTTCTTCAAAGTACTTCCTCTCTTCATCAAGATGCTTCCTCTCTTCATCAAGGTGCTTCCTCTCTTCTTCAAAGTACTTCCTCTCTTCATCAAGATGCTTCCTCTCTTCTTCAAAGTACTTCCTCTCTTCATCAAGTGCTTCCTCTCTTCAAGATGCTTCCTCTCTTGATCAAGTGCTTCCTCTCTTCACAAAGTACTTCCTCTCTTGATCAAGATGCTTCCTCTCTTCATCAAAGTGCTTCCTCTCTTCTCAAAGTACTTCCTCTCTTCATCAAATGCTTCCTCTCTTCTTCAAAGTACTTCCTCTCTTGATCAAGATGCTTCCTCTCTTCATCAAAGTACTTCCTCTCTTCTTCAAATGCTTCCTCTCTTCTTCAAAGTACTTCCTCTCTTCATCAAATGCTTCCTCTCTTCATCAAGTGCTTCCTCTCTTCATCAAGATGCTTCCTCTCTTCATCAAGTGCTTCCTCTCTTCTTCAAAGTACTTCCTCTCTTCATCAAGATGCTTCCTCTCTTCTTCAAAGTACTTCCTCTCTTCATCAAGATGCTTCCTCTCTTCATCAAGATGCTTCCTCTCTTCATCAAGATGCTTCCTCTCTTCTTCAAAGTACTTCCTCTCTTCATCAAGATGCTTCCTCTCTTGATCAAGATGCTTCCTCTCTTGATCAAGGTGCTTCCTCTCTTCATCAAGATGCTTCCTCTCTTCATCAAGATGCTTCCTCTCTTCTTCAAAGTACTTCCTCTCTTCATCAAGATGCTTCCTCTCTTCTTCAAAGTACTTCCTCTCTTCATCAAGATGCTTCCTCTCTTGATCAAGGTGCTTCCTCTCTTCTTCAAAGTACTTCCTCTCTTGATCAAGATGCTTCCTCTCTTCTTCAAAGTACTTCCTCTCTTGATCAAGGTGCTTCCTCTCTTCAACAAAGTACTTCCTCTCTTCATCAAGATGCTTCCTCTCTTCATCAAGGTGCTTCCTCTCTTCTTCAAAGTACTTCCTCTCTTGATCAAGATGCTTCCTCTCTTCTTCAAAGTACTTCCTCTCTTCATCAAGATGCTTCCTCTCTTCTTCAAAGTACTTCCTCTCTTCATCAAGATGCTTCCTCTCTTCATCAAGGTGCTTCCTCTCTTCTTCAAAGTACTTCCTCTCTTGATCAAGATGCTTCCTCTCTTCTTCAAAGTACTTCCTCTCTTGATCAAGGTGCTTCCTCTCTTCAACAAAGTACTTCCTCTCTTCATCAAGATGCTTCCTCTCTTCATCAAGGTGCTTCCTCTCTTCTTCAAAGTACTTCCTCTCTTCATCAAGATGCTTCCTCTCTTCTTCAAAGTACTTCCTCTCTTCATCAAGATGCTTCCTCTCTTGAGCAAGGTGCTTCCTCTCTTCATCAAGATGCTTCCTCTCTTCATCAAGATGCTTCCTCTCTTCTTCAAAGTACTTCCTCTCTTCATCAAGATGCTTCCTCTCTTCATCAAGGTGCTTCCTCTCTTCTTCAAAGTACTTCCTCTCTTCATCAAGATGCTTCCTCTCTTCTTCAAAGTGATTCCTCTCTTCTTCAAAGTACTTCCTCTCTTCATCAAGATGCTTCCTCTCTTGATCAAGGTGCTTCCTCTCTTCAACAAAGTACTTCCTCTCTTGATCAAGATGCTTCCTCTCTTCATCAAGTGCTTCTCTCTTCTTCAAAGTACTTCCTCTCTTGATCAAGATGCTTCCTCTCTTCTTCAAAGTACTTCCTCTCTTCATCAATGCTTCCTCTCTTCATCAAGATGCTTCCTCTCTTCAAGGCTTCCTCTCTTCTTCAAAGTACTTCCTCTCTTCATCAAGATGCTTCCTCTCTTCTTCAAAGTACTTCCTCTCTTCATCAAGATGCTTCCTCCTCTTCTTCAAGTGCTTCCTCTCTTCTCAAAGTACTTCCTCTCTTCATCAAGATGCTTCCTCTCTTGATCAAGGTGCTTCCTCTCTTCTTCAAAGTACTTCCTCTCTTGATCAAGATGCTTCCTCTCTTCTTCAAAGTACTTCCTCTCTTCATCAAGATGCTTCCTCTCTTCTTCAAAGTGATTCCTCTCTTCTTCAAAGTACTTCCTCTCTTGATCAAGATGCTTCCTCTCTTGATCAAGGTGCTTCCTCTCTTCAACAAAGTACTTCCTCTCTTGATCAAGATGCTTCCTCTCTTCAAAAAGTACTTCCTCTCTTCTCAA